TCTATGAGATTATATTGTCTTTCTATTTTAAAAAATATTTTATTAATTATTTTTATTTAATGAGGGTCAGAAGAGGGCATCAGATTTCCCTGGAACTGGAGTTACAGACTGTTGTTAGCCACCATGTGGGTGCTGGGAATTGAATCTGTGTCCTTTGCAAGAGCAGTCATTGCTCTTAACCACTGAGTCGTCTCTCCATCCCCCTTAGATTATCTTTAAAAAAATTTTAGGACTTGGGGCTAGAGGGATGGCTCAACAGTTAAGAACACCGACTGTACTTGCAGAAGACCCGTGTTAGATTCCCAGCACCCACAAGGCAGCTAACAACTGTCTGTAACTCCAGTTCCAGGAGATCCAACAGCCTCTTCTGTCCTCTGTGGGCACTGCATGACACAGGTGCACTTACCTACATGCAGGTATAACACTCATACACATAAAATAAAAAAAATAATAAAGTATTTTTTAAAAAAGAAAGTATCTTGATTTATAAAAAAAAAATTTACATCCATAATATTTGGACAAAAAGCAAAAATGCAGCCGGACATGGTAATGCATGCCTTCAACCCCAGCACTTGGGAGGCAGAGGCAGGTGGATCTGTGAGATGGAGGCTAGTCTGGTCTACATGCTGAGTTCCAGGCCAGCTAGAGCTACAGGGAGAAACTGTCTCCAAAAAAAAAAGAAGAAGAAGAAACAAGCAAACAATTAGAAACTGAGGTTAATGAGGGCAAGTTTTGCATATATATATATATATGAAAAAGGAATTAAATCCATATTCTTTTACCTTTGGACCTTAAATACCTCAGGTTGGGCCATTTGTAATACTGAAAGGGAAATACTAATTAGGGAACGTTTGGCTAGAAAATGAGTCATAGAGAGTTATAATGTAGTAAAGAGAGGCACTTCAAGAAATTCAAGGAGACACAGGATGTAATCATATGCAAAGACAGGGTCTGGTTCTCTTGCATAATTATGTCTAACATTCTTGTTTTGCTAGGACAAGGTCTAACTGCATGTATATATATTGATTTAGCATACATGTGCCTGGCTCACTACCTCTCACTGTTTCATCTGCCTGTAAAACACAGTGCCCTATTGTGAGGAGTTTGGGAGGGCTTAGGAAGGCGACCTTACCACCTTACCAGGTTAGTTACTCTGGTCCAGGTGGGATGGCCTGGTGTGAGAGTGCAAAACATTTAAGAAGAATTTACATGGATTGCCCAACATTTCTTTTTTAGGGGAACCTGAAAATGCTGTCAGTGTGTGAATAGATCACTACAGGGGAGAAAGGAAGAGGGGAGAAGCAGCTCTTCCTGAAAGAATGTGGGATTCAGGACAGGAAGCCAAGCTGACTCAGTTGGTGAAGTGCCTGCCTCATTAGCCTGAGGACCTGTGTTTTCTTCCAAGAACCTACATAAAAAAACAAAAACAAAAACAAAACAAAACAAAACAAAACAGGACCTGGTGTGGCACAGTTCTATACAAGAACTGGGGGCTCACTGGGGCTCACTGGCCAGGTAGCCTAGCATAGTTGGCATGTTTCAAGTCAATGAGACATCCTGTCTCAAAAAACAAGACAGAGTCTGAGGAGTACTGGAGAAGTTGATCCCTGTTCTTCACACACATGACAACACGTGTATCTACATACAAACACACACATATATACACAAAGGCACACAAAGAATGTGTAATTCTAACTATTTTCAAGATCAGGATTCAAAGCTCATAATTCTGTGAATGAATGACACCAAAATTCAACTCAATGGCTTGTTTCCCATCATTTCGCCACCTAGCCTCAGATGAACTGGCCTGTTTGCCCAGGGATTTAGAAATTTTCTTATGGGACTTCTCTTACTTTGAATAGTGATATTTACTAACTGATATGTATATAAAATTGCCTGCTTAATCACAATCCTTTTGAGTATTTGAGCTAATTCCTCTTAGTTTCTATTGTAGAGTGAGGCTTAGTCTTGAGAAACTCTCATGCCTCTTTATGCAGCTTGTGCACATAAATACTGATAACGTTCCACATCAGGCTGTACTTTAATCAGTTAATTGGAGGGGAATGAGTGATAGGCAGGCATACCTACCCTGAGGCCCAAATGACTTGTCTTTCAAAAACCACACTGGCTCTGCCAATGTAGCAGGGGAAAGAGCCATGCCTCATTATTGGCCCAGTACATAGGAACAAAACAGATGTTCAAGATGTCTAAATCACATGTGTAAGACTCCACAGAGAACAGGAAGGTAGAGCTAAACTTCATCTCTAATCTTTGGATCCCCAAACCAAAGATGTTAGAAAAAGTACTGGACTGAATTAGCATTAATGATGCTAATAGATTATTATTTACATCAAAGTTTTATGTTTGCAGGGTTTTCTAGATGCTAAGAAAAAAATGTTAGGACATTAGTGTCAGGACTGACATTTTTGAGTTGAAATATAATTACTTAATTCTGTTCAACTGCTGTCATATTTTGACTCATGGAACCACCCCTTTAATTAGAAGTTATCAAAGAAGTGTAGAGATTTACACCTTTTAAAAATACTTATCAGGAATGTGACATAGAAATGCCAATTTCCTTTTAAAAGATAAGATAGTGCTCTTAAAAGCTCTATTTTATTATTTAATAAAAATATAGAAAAAATACAAACACAGTAAGGATTAAATTATGCCTTGGCCCCAAAATGGTAATACAAAGAGGTGATGCCAAAAGTAAGAAAGTAAATATGAGGGGCCAAGGAGCTGCTTCAGCAGGTAAAGGGTGCCTGCTGCCAAGCCTGATGATGTGAGCTCAATCCCCAGGGCACACACGATGGAAACATAACTCCCGAAAGTTGTCCTCTGATATCCACACATGCTGCAGTACATGTGTACCTGTACACACACACACACACACACACACACACACACACACACACAAATAGATAGATAAATGTAAAATTTTACAAAAGTAAGTTGTCAACTAGAGGGGTTGCATAGACTTTCAAACACTACTGGCTATTATCATTGCTCCTGGTTACCCACCAGAACTTGACAGTAAGACCTTATTGCTCAAGGTACTACACAGGTGAGCCATGAGCCACAGAACAAACGAGGAGAATCCAGTTGGTAAATGCCCTGAAAGCATTATGTCTACTGGCTAGCATTCAGAGTACCAGAAGGTGCTATAGATGCTACCTGAAGAGAAAAGTAATCATCAAACTTGTGTACTTTGAACCCTGTGAGCTACAGTAATGACTGGCCTGGCAAGATATGTCCACTGGTGCAATAGCAGCATAAATGTTATAGGAATAATCATTCACCTTCTAATTGAATATAGGACCCTCTTCACAAAATAAAGTCTATATCTGGCACTGTTATATCAGGCTCAACAACCTGTGGCTAGACAGGTCACAGCTGTAGGGGAGAACCTACTACAATTGTTCTGTTGAATAAATATAGTATTAAACTGATTCTTAATGACTCATTATAGCCATAGATTAGTACATCTCTCAACGCTCACCAAAGGAGGTTCTTCTTGCAGCAGATGGCCATTAACATGAAGACCCATGACTGATCGACTTGCAGAGAATAAGAGATTAAGGAGTACTTAGCCCTAAATGAGACACATATTCCAACCCCTCTCCCAACAAAGTTCAGAGATCATTGCAGAAGAGGGGGTGGAAAGATTGTAAGATCCAGAGGTAGTAGATGAATACAAGAAAATGATTGTTTGGATGCCTGAGGTTAGTTGCACATATAATCGCACAATGCTTGTGACAGCATGTGTAAGAACTGTACAAGCCAAAACACAGACAAAAACCGAGCATGAATTGGGGAGGTAGGCAAGAAGTTCCAATCCTAGCTGAGGATCTATTGGCAATTGATAGCTGCTGGGAGAGGGAGAGTCAGATTTGTTTAAGGGTGTGATTCCTGGTAGGTTGACCAGATTCCAAGGGATGGTCCCACACCCAAGAGCATTTGAAAAACATAAATTAGACTTGATAGAGCAGGGGTAGAGATGGGGGAGGGGGATCTGAATACAATAAAATATATTGTATGAAATTCGGAAGAATCAATAAACTATTTTGAAAAGAAAGTGAAATATTTAACTAAAAATCAAAATCAAAGTACATGGATGTGTATGTGATACCAACTATCTATAGTCTATCCCATTTGGCTCCTAAAGCAATTCCATGAAAGGGATGATACCAACCCTTGCTTCAGAAATGAAGATTGGAACTGAAATAGTTTAACAATGGCACAGGTGGAGGTACTCAAGAAAGAGCTGAACCCACCTATGTCTGATTCTAACATCTTAGCCCAAGTATGAAACCAGCATCTCATATACCAATCTCCTAGGTCAATTATTAGAAAACATATGCTCCTTATCCTAGGGATATATTTTTAACTTTTTAACTCAGCTATCAAATTGTAGCTGTAGGGTTTAGAAGTGTTTGCTATAATAAGCAAATTGAGTATGTGACATTTTAATGTAAACCCTGCTGAGAGTCAGCTTGGTTCCAGCTGCCTTGCTACTGGGAAGGGGACAGGAATATTCACCAGAAGCTGCTGATTCCTTTAGACCAGAGCCTACTATTATCACTCACAATGGAGCAAAACACGTTAAATTCTGTGCAAAGTGATCATTCCTAGATGAGTCAACACTGTCTTGAAAACTTCTAAAAGGGATGTTTCTGGCAACTGTGACAAATTTTGTCTAGGAGTCAGTTAAGGATGCTTGAAAAAAAAAAAAAAAAAAAAAAAGACAGTAATGGTAGCAAGTTTCTCTTTAACTTTTAAATAACAACTGTCAGAAGGAAACATCAACCCTGCTGCTGACTTTGCCTTCCTTCTCTTGAATTAGTTAACCCTAAAAGTGCAAATACAAACAAATGTGATCCTTTACAGTACATATGAACCAGAAGAAATCTGGAATTCATTGCTAAGTATTTTGGTTCCTGCTGCAGCTGTTACAAGTGTTTGATTTGGCGAGGGAAGAGAAAGGGGCTGCTGCATACCAATTTCATGAGCCACGGTGAAAGCTGCATGGAGACCATCATCTTCAATCACAGCACAGCTGCGCTCTGGAGAACATATGGTCCCAACGTCTGCCATTCCCAGGGTGTCACATGAATGATGCCCACATAAATCCTGCCCAGGAGAAAGAAAGAAATCATTAAAATCAATTTACATCCAGAAGGAGCCACCATGGACACTCCAAACGGCAAGAGTGGGGCATGTTTATGAGATCACCTGCTCTGTGCGGGAAGCCTTCCAAAAGTGGATTCAAGGCAGGAACCTTTCTGAACTACTTTACAACCCAGAAGCACAGAAGGATAAGGAAATTCAACGACATTTTAAAAGATGTCATGATGCCACGTATTCATTACAATTCAAGACTTGCAACTTTAACACAGCTGTAGTGCATATACAAATGTCAAGGAGTACAAATGTTCGCACACAGGAAAGTCCTAATAGTCCGACCCAAATTCATGTTAGGCTTATCAGAAGAGAGGCCTAATAATTTGTTTCCTGTTACACAAACTAAACTACAAACACATTTGCAACAGGATATATATTAGCATATAGATGTATATAGTATATATGTATACTATGTATATAGTATATATATTCATCATTTGTATGGGAAATAAAATTGTAATCTCTATGTAAAATTAGATATAAAACCAAATTTTAGTCCATCTGTATTATTCATTTAAAGGTGATCTCTTAATTTCCAAATTAAATTATAATTTCATAAGTGACAGCTTCAGAAATTAATGCACTTTTACTCATAGCTTTTTAATTCTTTTATATTTATTTATTGTGTATGCAGTAATATATATGCCATGGTGCGTATGTGATGGTCAGAGGGCAACTTGTGGGAGCCAGTTCTCTCGTTCTACTAAAGGGTCCCGTCAGTCAACCCAGGTTGTCAGGATTGGCAGCAAGTACATTTATCTGCTGAGCCATCTTGCTCATGGCTTGCAGAAAATAGATGTAATACAAGTATGCAGGATGTGAACGTATTCATTTTATTTCTGAGAAGTTGCACAACTTTTAAGAGACTCTCTGAAGTAAATATGATCACACTCCACTAATTGTTGAACCTACTATTTTCACTTTCCTAAGCCAATATATTTCTAATGGTATTCTAAATGCTTACCCTTATACCCATAGAAAAAAATGTAGTTCTCACCCCCCCCCAATCAAAGAGACCTCTTTTTGCAACAGATGGAGACTACTACAGAAATTCACAACTGGTCAAAAACAAAGAATAAGTGCGCACAGCCCAGTAGGTAGAACTATAATGCAACCCTACACCTAAGGCTCAGGGAACATCCTGAGGGAGGGGACAGAAAGAGTCTAAGAGTCAGAGGCCCAAGACATCTAGATAGTGTCTGATGGATACTACAGAAGCTGTACCCATGAACTATCAACAGTATGCTTACCTAAAGAAGACCTGCATAATGACCCCAGTTTACCTGCCAATGTGGATAGGGGGGATTTCACAAGGTCCCACCCCTAGATGAAGAGTTATAGGCATTCATTGACTGCTGAGAGAGGAAGAACCAGATTTCTGTGGGGATGAGCCTCCTGATAGATTATGAATCTCAAGTTGTCAACCCTAAACATATGTATACACAAGCACTACTAAATGGACTCAAGAGCTTATGCATGCATGCATATATATGTGTATATATATATATATATATATATACATATACACACATAGATACTATACTATACAACAACAAAGTGGAAGCGATCACAATTTTGAAAGGGAGTTGGTGGAGGACATGGGAGGATTGGGAGCTGGAGTAAGGAGAGGTAGAAATGATGTAAATATAGTTCTCATGTATGAAATTCTCACAAAATAAAATAGTAAATTTAAAAAATTACTAATTTAGATAAAAAGAGCATAAACAAGACATTAAAGTTATGAATCTTGCAAAGACAAGAGAAACAATTTCTTTTGGTTTTTTTGAGACAGTGTCTCCCTCTTGCTCCAGCTGGCCTAGAGCTCATTATGTTGACCAGGCTAGCCTCGATATCACAGAGATAGACCTGCTTGTGCATCCTGAGTGCTGGGATCAAAGGTGTACACATCATGGCACACTTGAAGCTAAGTTTTTTGACATTACAGATTTGTAATGTGAAACATTATCTATAAATGCTAATTTAAATGAACATAAAAATTTCTTGTGCTTGCCTATGAATTCCAGTAAATTCACATATATATTTATAACAAAAAAGCAAGATACCTTTTCTAGTAAGCCAGAAATTAATATCCAACTGTGGAAAGGTCTTTAAAATATTAATTTGGAAAATAAGTATTGTTTCTATTATAGCTGTCATCTGTCCATAATGTGTCTTATGGTAGGAACTCAATAGACATTTGCTTAATTGAATTAACAAGTGTGATACATTTGGACTCAATGTAATTGTCCTCACACACCTTTAATACGCTGCCTGGTGGTAAGAACGTTAGCCTTCAGGCACACAGATCAAGGCAGTGTTCCCACACAACCAGTGCTCCAGACTCAGTGTCAATAGCTCTTCCCTCTCCTCTATTTTGTTGCATAAACTCCAACAAGGGTCAGCAAGACTTAAAAGCTACAGCCTTATCCCTTCTCTTTAATGTGTTTTCAGGTCCCTATTGTGCTGTTTATATTGTGATTTCCAGCTGTGATGTGGCCAGCATGGCACTGTAGCACCAGACAGTGGAAGTCTCAGCCAAGCCACCTTGGTGAATCGAGATGCCAAGTCAACAATAGCCTTCCAAATCTTCCCTGGGTATCCTCCCGTCCATCCCATGGGATCCCAAATTACAGCTGTTGAGAACAAATTAATAGCTTTAAAAATTGAAATTGGAAGCCTTTGCATAATAATTACTCTGTGAGATAATAATATAGTATAACACATGCTTAATTATCCCCTTTATCATTTTAGCAGTGTTAGAGCCCAATTTCAGTTCAGAGTTTGAGTTTGTACACACAGTAGGTTACTTCTGCATGCATAAATGTTTTGCAACCAAGCTTCATGCTTATCTTCATAGCCTGGGGTTGGTTATCTTCAAATAGTTAAATCTAAGAATCAATTTCACACATTTTACTTCTCACTTTACTAATCAGCTTGTATGAGGAGACACAGCAAAGGGAAATGGCCTTCCTGTTCCTAATGGAGTTTAAACCGGAATCTTAATCTCTCTGTTTACTGTTAATCAATTGCTCATTAGACGCCATCAACCCTCCTTGTCTGCTTTGAATTGCATTAAATGCATTTGGCCTTTTGCCATGGAAATTATGCATGTGACTGTATTATGAAAAGAGTGCATGTTATTCTTTTAGCCACACTGATTAAACCCTTTGACTACATAGCCACACCATTACATTTCCACAGCTGTAATTACAAATTGTCAACCTTTCCATTTTTCTCACATTATTTCCAACTTTTCCAGGGCAGTTATGGTTTTTACCCTCAAGACTTACATGAACATCTGAACAGCATTTGAAAGTCTATGTTCTTTTCAAGATATGAAGACTATGTATCAAATTATTAAGCATTAATTACATCCATATATTTTCTTTTGTGCTGATCTTTTGCAACAGTACTTATAGATCTAAACCTTCAAGTTTATAGAATTTTTAAAATTCAGAGTAGATGTGTTGTTTGAGTGATCACATATTTATCCATATAGTATAGCATATGTAATCTGTCATTTGAAGGCTGTAGACTTAAAGATGGTGGCTCAGAATCTATGAACGAGATAACTGAATTAAAAGTGATGACAAGTAAGTTTCTGCTTATTCAGTGAGTGTCATTTTGGCAATCATTCTCTTTATATAGAGTCAGAACCTTACCACCATCATTTGTTGAGCAATGTGATGGAAGACTGAGTGAAATGTAAGTGTTGCAAAAGTACAGAGACTTGACTGTGATCTTATGGTGTGGTGCTGGCCAGGCTACAGGGCTGAGTCAGTGCAGCGAATGAAAAAGTACACCTGAAATGGTCTGGCAGACCAGAACGTTTCCATAGGGAGATCATTAGCCTTGTGACTGTCACAGAGACTATGAATATGGTGAAGTTTGTGACTTGTCGTAGAATTCAGAAGTACTATAGTGCCTCACACTTATTTGTCAGGATGGGGAGGGGGCCAGTAAAGCACACTGCCTAGAGCAGCAGGGCTCAGAGGGTAGCAGGGTTAGGAAAATGCCAGTGCTCAGTACTGGATGGGGAAAGGAGCCAGCACCAAGCAGGCAGGAATATTCAAATGGAGCAAGTCACTGGAGGAGTTGGAGGATTTCCGGGCTTGATAGAAAGACTAGTCTCCCAAGAGGCATACATATGCTGAGATAAGGAACTAAAGCAAACACAAATGCTGATAAGGGAAGTTACCCAAGAGGAGCAGTAGCAGTCACTGAGGTTAAAGAACACATTATATAGTGTTGCTCCTGGTGGGGTCAAATGTGGAGTTCAAGGGGCAAGGCTTCCTGTGGCTTGAGATGCCTATCTTTCTGATACACAATTCTACTGAAAAGAGATTAATGACAGAAGAATGAACAGTGGGGCCTATATTTTAATCCTAAGTACATGTATACTTATATTTACCCATACTTATTTGTTCTGTGCACTTACTTTAATCCCTGATTAGCATGCTGATTGCACAGATTCATGGCTCAGTGTGATATCACCACACATGCATACAGAAGGCATGGATCAAATCCGCTTTCCTTTACCTGCCGTCTCTCTGCAAGATGGACCTGATTCTTGAGGAATCATTTTCTTATGTGGTTACCTATATAACAATCTCTAATAATAGTGGTCTTATTTTGTATTTCAGCATAGACTACATTAACTGGGAATGTTAGATTGGGCATTACAATGACCCATGTTATACAGTCTCTAATCAGACATCTGTATATAACTAGGTGACTCTAAACAGAACATAGTTCGGTAGAATTAAGGCCTAAGGAAACCAGATATATTCATTACTAGAACAATTCCTGCATACCTACAACCTGCTAGCCATTGTGCTAGGTTGGCCACTATAGTTAAGTGAAAGAAGATCTAACACTGGTCCTTAAAAAAACATGATAATGCAGTGAGCAAGGCAGATACATCAGGAGGAAGCAAAGAGACATGGTGT